CTGCTTCCAGACTCCCAGCTGGAAAAGCTTGCTCTTCTCTTCCTTACGTGGCTTATTGCAGGCTACAGGGTAAAAACAGGGGGGTTATAATTTTTTCTTTTTTCCCTTTCTCATATAAAAAAATGTTTATTGGGTTATGTTTTCATATAAATCATCCTCGGATCTGATTGGGGTCAAGGTGGCAGGGGCAGATGGTTCATGTCTGCGGCATTTACTCCTTCAAATGTGTTCTGAAATAGATCTTTATTTTGGTTTGGTGTTTTTTTTTTTTTTTTTTTTTCCACTGTGTATGTGTTACCCTGGACACTCCCAGTACTAAAGATCTCATTTAAATTCTTAATAAACAAGATGATGTGAGCAGATATTTCTGGAAGTTCTTCATACTGAAGAATGGTAGTGAACTTAAGCTGCATCAGTTTCTCCTACTGAGTCTTCAAGCACTATAAATACAAACCAGTGGAACCTTAAACACAAAAGGGGGTGGGGGTGAGAAAAATCAAAGTAAACTCAAAATAAGTAGTTAACCTCCTTTAAAAAAAAAACAATGCAACAAAATTAAAACAAAACCTTTTGCCCCCCTCCCCCCCCCAAAAAAACAAAACAAACAAAAAAAACCCAACCAAATCTAAAACAAACCAAATGAAACTCCTCAAAAACACAAAACAACCCCCCCCCAAAAAAATGGAAACAATTCTGTCAGGAGAACAAATCTTTTGTTGTCACGGGAACCACTTGACCTGTGTGGAACTACACCAGCCCCCAGCAAATAGGAGGGAAGGAGACAAAAGGGTAAGAGATAGTAAGATATGATGTGAGGTTCCAAAATAGAGTAGCTGGAATAAGTAATTGCTTGCAGCATGCCCTAAAAGCAGCCAGTGAGAGGTCTGCCAGGGTACATCTCCTGTCTAATTTGGTCGGAGAGTTGTACAGTTGTGAAATTTTTGACCAAGAAAGGCCTCTTTCTGCCTTCGTCTGCTGTCCCGGGTCCTTGTGTTAGACCTTATTTTAAGGGGGGTGAGAGTTGGTGTCAGCCGAGAGGGTTAAGAAGAAGCACTGAGGTGACTTCTCAGGTCCTTAAGGACAAATTTCAAAGGGCTTTATAACTTAGCCATCAGTTTGTATATTGCTGCACACTGGAACCCAGGGTGTGTTTGAAGACCCTGGATAGATTTGGATTGTTATTTTTTTTTTTTATCCAAGTACTGGGTTTTTTCCTAAATAATCATAAGTGGGACTGCAAAGGGGATTTGAACTTTGGCTGTATATGGTAAAGGTTTTGTGAGTTCTTCTGCCCTGTCCAGCCTAATCATTTTATAACTCTTCACTTGGCTCTAATCTTCTGGTGTGGATTGAAGTGGAAAGAAACAACTATTTCTGTATATTAAAATACTTTCCTCCTGGTAGTTAACTCTTACAGTGCTGATGTGTTCTAGGGTGCTGGTTTCATCAGTGTTTGGGAGAAAGATTTTGTCCACCACTGATTAAAGAAACCTGCTGCTGTTTTTTGTTTAAGTCTGCTTGAAGAGAGCAATGCTGAGAAAAATGTCCTTCCAAAAATAAAGAGTTATGCTGAAGAGTTTATTAGGGTTAATAGTGGCACATGCTCTTGCTCCATGGAGGTGATTTAGTCTTTATATCCAACTTGTGAATCAAGGGAGGAAATCAGAGTGTGAAAGGGAGAGGTCAGGATATCCTCTGGCAAAGGGGAGACGATTAGGGAGAACACCAGGGGTTCAGGGAATAAAATCTCAGAAATGGTGTGTTGCAGGGTGAAACTGGCATGGAATTAGAGGCATGCAAAGGTAACATTAAGGACAAAACAGGAATAAGGACGAGAATGCAATTTGCAGTTAAAATTTTACATAAAAAGGTTGATTGGTAGGAATACATAAAAGCTGACTGTAATTTGGAAGACTAGACAATGATTCCTCTCTCTAGAGCTGCTAGGAGAAAGATCCATGTGAACTACAGGCAGTTCTGAGGCAAGGCGTCACTGATGGGCTCAAAGCTATGCTCCCCGCTCTCTTTTCCCATACTTCTTGCCCGTTTTGCCCAGCTGAAGAGGCTGGAGGGCAGTGGGGCCGGGTGGGTGTGCTGAGGTGCCCGTGGCTGCTCTCCCCGCAGGCTCCCTCAGCACGCAGTGCGACAGCTACGGCCAGTGCAGCTGCAAGCCCGGCGTCATGGGCGAGAAGTGCGACCGCTGCCAGCCGGGATTCCACTCGCTCTCCGAGGCTGGGTGCAGGTAAGGGGGGCTGCAGCTCTCGAAAAGAAAAACCAGTTGTCTTTTTAAAGCTTTCTCTGTGTGGCTGTTAATGAGTTATCCTCTCCCCTGATTCTTTCAGGCCCTGTTCTTGCGATCTGGCTGGCAGCACAGGGGAGTGCAACGTGGAGACGGGACGGTGTACGTGCAAGGACAACGTCGAAGGATTCCACTGTGAGAGGTGAGTTTCTTTTCCTGTGGCTTTGTTTCAAGAATGAGAAACATTCGAGCAGTGGCCTGGGGTAAACATCAGGGAAATGAATTCTTTTTCCTTCACATCTTCAGATGCAAACCTGGATTTTTCCATCTGGATTCCTCCAATCCACGGGGCTGTACTCCCTGCTTCTGCTTTGGACACTCGTCAGTCTGCACCAGTGCTGTTGGCTACAGTATCTACAGCATCACTTCCAACTTCCAGTTTGGTAAAATTCAGCCTTCCTTTGTATCTTGGCTTGGACTGTAGAATCAAGTCAGATATGATTAAAAAAAAAAAAAAACTTCTTCCTCTCCTTGCAAGACCACAAACTTTGGTCAGGCAGGTCCAGGATCCCTCTTTTGGAAGTGCTGAGTTACTTCTGAAGTTACTGGGAACTTCCATGTCAGCAGCTCATTTGTTCAGCTAAGGAGGAATGAATTCAAAGCTCTGGCCTTGGGCACTCAGCACTAATGTACACTGTGCAGGTGCAAGTGGGAACTGCAAATACAAACCTTTTATAGCTTGAGAGAGGTGCTGCCAAGGATGCAATTTCTCAGCTTTAGGATCAGATTGGGAGTTTCTGTTTGAGAGGATTATAATCACTTTAGATTTGGGGTTTACATAGTGTCATAGAATCATTTTGTTGGGAAAGACCAAAGATTGAGTCCAGCTGTTAACCCAGCAATGCCAGGTCACCACTTAGCCATGTCCCTCAGCACCACATCTACACAGCTTTTAAACTCCTCTAGGGACAGGGACTCCACCACTTCCCTGGGCAGCCTGGTCCAGGCGTTGACAGCTCTTTTGGGGAAGACATTTTTCCTCATGTCCAACCTAAACCTCCCCTGGCACAACTTGAGACTGTTTCCTCTTGCCCTGTTGCTTCTTGCATGGGAGGAGACACCGACCCCCACCTCACTCCACCCTCCTTTCAGGGAGTTGTGGAGAGTGATACGGTCTCCCCGGGGCCTCCTTTTCTCCGGGCTCAACACCTCCAGTTCCCTCAGCTGCTCCTCGTAAGAATTGTGCTCTAGACCCTTCACCAGCTCTGTTGCTCTTCTTTGGACATGCTCCAGCCCCTCAGTGTCCTTCTTGTAATGAGGGGCCCAAAACTGAACCCACTTGTGTTTCTGATGGATCTGTGAGCTCAGCAAAAGTCTTTTTTCATAGAGTCAGCTACCTGTGTATGCATGTTTTCATGCTGTGTAGTCTGAAAAGAACATCTTTTTAATTAAAATTCCATTGGAGAACAGTTTGTACAAAGGCTGAAGCTCTTCATGAAGTTACAGGGGACTGGAGGTTTTCCCATCCCTGCTTAAGCTCTTCACCAGAAAATTTTGAACAAGTAGGGTTCAAAGTGTGGAAGGTTCAAGTCAGCACTCAAGTTAGGAGCTCTAAATTGGAAGGGTAATGCTTGCTACCTATATTGTTTTGCATAGGTACTTTCTGGAGTCAATGAATGCCAGTGTACAAACTACAGATGAGCTATATCTGAGCAGTGTGCAGTATGCACTTCTTTTTGCATGAGAATTGTGTGCAAAGCTATGTCTTCAAAGGGTGTTAATTCTTGTGGGTTTGATTTTTTCAGGGGAGGACGAGTGGCGTGCTGAGCAGCGTGATGGCTCCCAAGTCTCCCTTCAGTGGAGTGCAGAGACCCAGGATATCTCCGTTATCTCCGACAGCTACTTCCCCATATATTTTGTTGCCCCACGTAGGTCATTTGAGAAGTGAGGCTTTCTGTGCTGCTTGTGCCCTTTCTGTTTGGTCCCCTAACTGTAAAGATTTCTTCCCCTTTCAGGCAAGTTCTTGGGCAACCAGGTTTTAAGTTATGGGCAAAATCTGACCTTCACCTTCCGCGTGGACAGACGGGACACGCGCCTCTCTGCGGAGGACCTGGTGCTGGAAGGGGCTGGGCTGAGGGTGTCTGTGCCACTCATCGCCCAGGGCAACTCTTACCCCAGCGAGAACGCGCTGACCTACACCTTCAGGTGAGAGGCCTCTGCAGCACGGTGGGAGCAGCTGGGACCTTGCCTATGGTGCCCTTGGCCTCAGAGCTCTTGAGAATGCAAACAGCATTAATTTTAGCTCAGAAGAGGAGCCTTATCAGGTTAATTTGAAGCTCGCTGTCTAGCAGTGTTGCATAAGTGTGTGAGTTATGTTGCAATAGCATGTTGCTGTTGGAAGAGGTGCTTTAAAAGGGCACAGCTGTTAACATCCAAAAGCTTTGCTGATGATGCTCTTCTCCTAGGCTCCACGAGGCTACAGATTACCCATGGAGGCCTGCTCTTACGGCATTTGAGTTCCAGAAGCTTCTCCACAACTTGACTTCCATCAAGATCCGTGGGACGTACAGTGAGAGAAGTAAGTCTCTGAGCAGAATGTCACAGGAAAGAGCAGCAGACTCATTTGTCTAGTCCTTGGGTTGCTTTCTTGTAGGGTTCAGTCATAAATAGCTGTGGCAACTTATTTGGCAAAACCGGTGCCGATTGCTTTTCACCTGCTTCTCCCCGCCCTCCTGAAGAGGACAAGAGAAAGGAAGGTGCTGCCTCTGAGAGTCTTGAAGATGAGCACCCATCACCTGCTGATTCTTTGCTTCTAAATGCAGGGAGGGTTGCAGTGTTGCATAGCCAGTATCTTCCAAACTGATAGAAATATTTAGCAGAGTCCTGAAGGATGCAGTGGGAGAGATGTAGAGAGTTTACAACATTTGGCCTCAGTTTCTGCTATGCTGGGAATGGTTATGTTTCCCCATTTCCTGGTCTTGCCTTGGTGTGACAAATGGGAAGGAAAGTCTCAAAAGCACTGCCTGTGCTGAACTTGAGTGAAAATTTCTCATAATGAGCATTTTCTAAAATTGGGCATGGATAAGGAGCAAAAGCTTCTGGATCCTTGGATAATGTTGTTTTTAGAATTTTTGCAGAAAGATGCAAAGAGTGAATTTGCACATGGGAAAGCTGCAGGTGTTTTCAGTGGAGGTGGCTCTTACAGAAGAATGTGGGGTTGTGAAATGGAGGGGAGGAAAGTTGTGGAGCAAGCCATCTCATGAGTGCTGTTGCTGCTGCTAATATGCAGGAGTTGAGGCTCTGCTTGGTGCTCTAGAGCTGCTGTGGTGGTACAAACACAGTGCTGTGAATTAAAGACCAGCTATGTTCTGTCTGGGCTCTGTTCTGCCCCAGGGAAGGGGCAGGGAGGAGAGGGGGGAGCGCTCAAATGCCAGATGAAGGAATGGCTTGAGAGGAATAGCTGATGAGCTTACCCCGAGGCATGTTTTGCAGATTCTGTGTTAGAGGCGGTGTAGTGAAACTGCTGGAGAGATGGTCTGTCCTCCCTAGAAAGACAGGAATTGATTTTGTTATTTGATTTGGAAATGGAAACCAAATGTGTACAAAATGTAACTTCCGTGAACCCTACTTGCTCATGGGTGCAGTTTTCAGCATCCTCCTCTGGCTTGTTATTCTCAGCTTTCCTGCCCTGTGCAAGCCCTTCGTGAGCTATATTGAATCTTTTCTCATCTGTCTAAACCTTCCTGGAGGATTTTGTTTCTTGATTCACCTTACCTACTGTGAGCATCCACCTGTCTGTCTATTGTACCATGCAGATTTGTGGCTGGTGAAGCGGTGGCGTGAACCTTTGTGGTAACAAAGCATTTCTCCTCTTGGTGCTTTCTAGGTGCTGGCCACCTGGATGATGTTACCATCTCAAGTGCCCGGCCTGGACCTGGTGTGCCTGTGCCTTGGGTGGAGAGCTGCTCCTGTCCTGCAGGATACGAGGGGCAGTTTTGTGAGCGCTGCTCCTTCGGGTACCGGCGAGAGACGCCGAGCCTTGGGCCCTACAGCCCCTGCGTGCCCTGCGCTTGCAACGGGCACAGCGAGACCTGCGAGCCCGAGACGGGTAAGGGGCTGACAAATGGGCCACACTGAGAGCGTGGGTCTTCTTCCTGTCTTCTTCCTGGGTTGGAAAGGGAAGGAGAAACCACGTCCTTCTCTCTTTTCCAGGCGTGTGCAATTGCAGGGATAACACGGCAGGGGCTCACTGCGAGAAGTGCAGCGATGGCTATTATGGAGATGCGACAGCGGGCACAGCCTCAGACTGCCAGCCCTGCCCATGCCCAGGCAGCTCCAGCTGCGCCATCGTGCCCCGCACGAAGGAGGTTGTGTGCACCAGCTGCCAGGCTGGCACTACAGGTGTGTTCTGACACAAAGTCTGTTTTTCTACACCCCACGTGCCTGTGGCTCTGACCTACAGCGAGCAGCACTGGAAGCTGCTGTGTCTTCTGGTTCAAATCCTTTTCCTTACCTTAGCCCTATTTTCTGTCCTGCGCAAGGCTCATGATCTTTGTGCCTGTCCCTAGAGAATAAAAGGGAGACAGTCTTAATCTGTGCAAAGTCTGAACATTTCTGTGCTAGCTTCTAATAAAGCTCTGTTAAATGCACAGTGCTGGGCAGAAAATAGGCTAGATTTCCAAGAGCCAAGAAGGCGGGCCAGACTGAAATAAAATTAGAAGATGCTGTTTGCCAGCCAGAGAGTCACTGTGGGATGCGTGCAGGGGAGGGCCAGTGCTCTCCCTAGGAAAAGCAGGCTGTAGTGACTCACAAGCACTGCCCAAAAAATACAAGACCAAATTTATGCTGAGCAGTTTTAAAGAGAAATGCGTGAACAGGTACAGATATTTTTTTTTTTCTTAGTGGTAAACCAAGTCCAAGCGTGTACCTGCATTGTTAAGTGGAGCCTTTTGTTCTGCCTGCAAACAGCAAGGAAGCCTTAAGATGGCTCCATATCAGCCTCCATAAGCTCTTCTGCTGATTTTATGCTTGGCAGAGTCCAAAGTACAGAATACCTGTAAATGTTTGAAATGCTTAGAAAAGCCCCTGACCTAGCACAGAGGCAGCTCATGGGGTTTCCATGGCTGCTGCTGTTTTGTGAATCAAAGCAGAGTCCAGAGGTCCAGGTTCCCTGCAGCTCAGGTGTGGTTGTACAAGCTCATCTTTACTTGTAGCTGTATGATCGCACAAGAGTTCCTCCAGTCTCCTGCCACCTCCTTGGGATGTGAGGGGAAAGCTGAGGGGAAAGAGGGTTTGCGTGGGCAAGAACCGCGTGAGAAATGGAAATTTGAGATGGCTGAGGAGGTCAGACCTGCAGTAAGTGTAGGGAGCTGCTGAGTTGGATGCTTCAGTGGCTGCCTGTGGAGGTTTGGCAGATCTCATTGGCAGTGGGGCTTCCTGGAGCAGTGGTGCCCCATGGAGCTCTACTTGGAGTCTTAAATTAACGACAAATTACAGCAGATAGGTTTGGCCTAAAGAGATAGGAGGGAAAAGAGGAGCTGAAATAACTTGTGATGCACGATTCCAGTGAAAAGGCAGTGTAAATTTGGAGGTGGAGAGGAACCCCGGTGTGGTTTCGTGTATCTTTCTGGGAAGGAAGCTGGGCAGCTCTCTTTGCCGCAGGGGCTGCAGAGGGGCTCGGGGCGGGACGGCAGCGAAGGGCTGCCGGCCGCAACGCGCCTCTGTCGGGTCGCAGGCAAGCGGTGCGAGCTGTGCGACGACGCCTACTTCGGGGACCCGCTGGGCGCCAGCGGTGCCGCGCGGCCCTGCCGCCTCTGCCAGTGCAACGACAACATCGACCCCAACGCCGTGGGCAACTGCGACCGCCTGACGGGCGAGTGCCTCAAGTGCATCTACAACACCGCCGGCTTCTACTGCGACCGCTGCAAGGACGGCTTCTTCGGGAACCCCCTGGCCCCCGACCCCGCCGACAAGTGCCGAGGTGGGAGCCGGTTCCTCTTGCAACTAAAATTGGTTTTGTCCTGGCGAGCTGCAGTTTCCTGATGTGTTGTTAGGACGCAGCAGGCTGTTGTTCGTGCCTGTCAGCAGCGATGGGTGGCTTTATCCTGGTTTGGTGGCTGTAGCTTGCTAAAATGCTTGTATTTGTGGGCGCTTACTGCCATCGAAGCAAAAGCATTGTGCCGTGCAGGGGCTGGGCTGCTGCTGATTTTGGATACAGGCCTGTTTAGGGACTGGCTAGCAAAGTAGCAACACCACAAGGGACTTCTAATGTTCTGCATATTTCTCCATCCCTTTTATTTTTACAGCCTGTAACTGCAATCCCTATGGCACTGTGAATCAGCAGACGAGTTGCAATCAAGTGACCGGGCAGTGCGAGTGCCTATCTCACGTCACCGGGAGGGACTGCAGTGCCTGTGAACCTGGGTTCTTCAACCTCCAGAGTGGACGTGGCTGTGAGAGGTGATGTTTGCCTTGGCTTGAGGCAAAGAGCCTGCGTTTGAGGGGAGTCTGTGCTTACCTTGTACAGGAATGAGTTATTTGTTACAAGTAACTGGGGTGCTTCAATGCTGCCATGGGTGGGGAAGAGCACCGGTCAAGGAGCAGCTATGGAGGCTATAAAAAAGCCTGACTTATAAATAGCTATATAAATAGCTTTAAATCAGGGTTTTAAATAGAAAAATGCCACGTGACTGCATGATGTTGGTAGCAGGGTCTCGTGGGTTCCTTTTTTAGTGCAAGCACCGAGTGACCTTGCACGGTTTAAAGGGCTTCAGTGCCTCACCCTCTGAGTCTGCACAGCAAGAAAAGTGACTTTTTGAGAATGGAAATGTTGAGTTGTGCTTGTTAGGGCTCCCTCAGAGAGGTGCTTCACCCATGTCCCCGCCTGACACGTGTCTGCCTCCCCAGGTGCAACTGCCACGCGCTGGGCTCCACCAACGGCCAGTGCGACATCCACAGCGGGCAGTGCGAGTGCCAGCCCGGCGTCGCCGGCCAGCGCTGCGACCGGTGCGAGACCAACCACTTCGGCTTTGGCTCCGAGGGCTGTAAACGTGAGTCTGAGAGGCTAGAGCCAGGCGGTGGCAGGGGTGCTGCACTGCCAGCTTCGACTTTGCTTTCCACCCGTCTCTGGGGAGGTACTGTCTCACCTTGGTCTTCATCATAGCAGAGGTTGGCACTCTTCTGTCCACACCCTGCATGGTGGAATTTTGTCTCTGTACAATAGAATCATAGAATCATTCTGGTTGGAAAAGACCTTTAAGGTCATCAAGTCCAACTGTTAACCCAGCACTGCCAGGGCACCACTAAACCATGTCCCTCAGCAACACATCCACATGGCTGTTTAATCCCTCCAGGGATGGGGACTCCACCACTGCCCTGAGCAGCCTGGTCCAGGCCTTGACAACCCTTGCAAGGATGCCATTTTTCTTAATTTCTAACCTAAACTTTCCCTGGTGCAACCTGAGGCCATTTCCTCTTGTCCTATCAAAGAGCTTATCCGCTTTTTCTTATATTATTTGTTTTAGTTGGGGATGGGAAGGACTCCAATGTACTAGATACCTGTTTCTTCTCAATGTAAATAGAATCATAGAATACTTTGTGTTGGAAGAGACCTTTAAAAGTCATCTCGTTCAACCCCCAAATACATTGTCTGAACCTTGTCCTGCAACAGTCCTGGTGCCACATGTTAAATCTCTGCGCAGCTGCTCTGCAAATGGCCTCAACATACAGATTCTGTCTTGAGGAGCAACAGGTCTTGTAAATGTCATTGAAAACCAGGATGATCCAAATATTCCTTTTCAATATCCATGCCTGTAAAGAGCAGAAGAATTAACTGCACTGGGTTGTAGTGAAATGGAGTAGAAAATTATAATGCTTTGTAGGAGAGGCAATAGCAACACTGAACACATCCAAAGAACGTTGCGTCCCGAGTGCCCTGCTGTGCGCAGGAGCATCCTGACTGGGAGCAGGGCTCCAGCTGTGGGTTTGTGCCCTGTTGTGTTTGCAGATGTTTTAGGGTGCTGAGGGCACACCCTCACCCTGTGGGTTTTTAGGGTATTTGTGCTTCTGAGGAATTTCTGACTGAGGTCTAACTTCCCTGCAGCCTGCGACTGTGATCCCGAGGGCTCGCGCTCCCTGCAGTGCCGGGAGAACGGCCGCTGCGAGTGCAAGGAGGGCTTCGTGGGGAGCCGCTGCGACCAGTGCGAGGAGAATTACTTCTACAACCGCTCGTGGCCGGGCTGCCAGGAGTGTCCGGCCTGCTACAGACTAGTGAAAGACAAGGTGAGGCCACAGACGCCACTGTTGGGACAGCAGGAGATGGTGGCATGTGCTCACTTGTGCGGAGGCTTTTGTGCCTGTGGCTGGCTGGTGCTTGCTGAAGGTAGAGAGGTCCAGGGTGCTTTGCTCTGTGCCATAGCTGTGCTCTGTCTCTCTCGCATAGGTGGCAGAGCAACGAGAGAGGTTGCAGGAGTTGGAGAACCTTATAGCAAACCTGGGTACAGGAGAAGAAGCTGTAACTGATCAAGCCTTTGAAGAGAGGTTGAAGCAGGCAGAAAGAGATGTTATGGAGTTGCTCCATGAAGCACAAAATAGCAAAGGTGAGTTGACCTGGTCAGCCATGGACCAACATGAGATGAGCTCTTTGTTTGATGTTCCTGTTTGCTTTGGTAGGGTGTATTTTATTTCAAGCTGATGCTGTGCATCAGGATGGGTGCCTGTTGCAGGCTGATGCAGGTAGCGGTCAGTGTATGTTATCAAGCCAGCGGTGGTTGTGCTTTTATCCCTGCTCTTCACTCAGTGGTTTCTGTTGTATGTGCAAAGTAAAGATCTACCTCTAGCTCTGTACAGATGCAAGCATTTTGTTACCCTCTTCTCCAGATGCAAAGGAGGTTTTTACTGGTTAAACAAGCAGAAGACTTTCCAATATGCTTATACATTTGCTCAGACAGCTTGGGACAAAGCAGTTCTTGTTGCAATATCATCAGCAATCAGGATGAAGGCTTCAAAATCCTGCCAGCAAGCTTTATTATCCCTCTAAAAAGTATAACTTCTGAAAAGTGCTTTTGTAGTGGTCTGTAGCTATTTTTCCTCCTAAAACACTGCATTAAACTGATTCTTGTACTGTTGCCTCTACTTACCTTCTAGGAGTTAAGCTGAAGAGAACTCACAAAGCAGACATTTCATGCTTCTTAAGTTGTCTTTAAGTCAATGATGAAGGTGAAACATAATTCTGCACACAAAATCACCCATCAGAGTCAGTTCCAACACCCAGCAGGATTGTCTTGTTAGTAGTTAATGACTTTTCATTTCTTATATTTGGTGCACATTCTGCTGATGACTTTGATCTCAAGCTGGGTGACTTACAAAACTGCTTTGCTGGTCCCCTTTCAATAGGGGATTAAACTACCAACATGTTGCCTGCAGTGGTAAGCTGCTGCTCCAGCTTCTCTTCCTGCTGTAATTAATTTTGCTTCATCTCTTTTATATTGTGTTTCAGATGTAGATCAGGGCCTCATGGATCGTCTCAAAGACATCAACAGCACACTTGCCAGTCAGCTCAACAGGCTGAGGAACATCCAGGGCACGGTGCGGGAGACGGAGAACCTGGCAGAGCAAGCCCGGGTGCGGGTGGAGGACACAGAGGACCTGATCAGCTTAGCTTCTGATATGCTCGAGAAGGCAAAGATGGCAGCTGACAACGTGGTGCGTGTGCTGCCAAAGTTCTATGTGGGGAGGAGAGGAGAGGGCTTTTGCTTTCTGTGCCCTCTGGTGTGTTTCTCTGCTTGTTCTCTCCCTCATATAGCAAACGTGCTGTGCAAATGTTTTCTGCTCTTGGGGAAAAAAATAAAGGGACATCACCACTGTCCGCATAGATTGCATCTTAGCCCCTGCTCACAGAAACCAGCTTAAGAACTCCTAAACAAATACCAGAATAAACATCAGCACCTTTGGTTTTTAAGTGATAAATACTGGTGGAAAGTGCATGGGCTTAAGGAAAACAGAGAGAGAAGTCAGAAGTAGGTTAGACATGTCTCTAAGCATTTAGATCATGACAATAAATATTTAAAGTGAAGATGAATAAAACATGAAAAAAGAGCTTTAAGATTTTTTGCTTTCTTTCTTTTTTTCCAGTCCATTACACCTCCGGAGTCAAGTGGGGACCCTAACAACATGACTTTATTGGCAGAAGAGGCCCGTAAGCTGGCTGAGAGGTAGGCTGGGGCAGGACATGCTCCTCACAGCCCATGTCAGGGCCCTGCTCTTCCCTGCAAGAGGGGAGCAAAATTTAATTTCATAGGAAACACGCCCTTTGCTGGGGAAGAGACTGGCACTGTGAGCACATGGCTGTGCGTCCTTGAGGGAAGCACTGGACATGTGAGTGAGGTACACGTACAGCCATAGCAGTCGGTGCCTTTCAGCTCATCCCATGGGCACTGCTGCAGCGATGCCTTGGTTGCAGAGATAGTATCAAACAGCATCTTTCATTGCAAATATTTCAGCATCTTCCATAGGCTAGTTGGAATGAAGGAATGAAAAGTAAGAGAGACTAAAATCTGGAAGAGAGAAATCTGGAACTGAGGACAGAAACCACTACCTGAGAATTCTCATGGCATTGTCCAGAGGAGGCCCAGAAAAATGATCGGAGGGCTGGAACCCCTCTGCTGTGAGGCCAGGCTGAGAGAGTTGGGGTTGTTGAGCCTGGAGAAGAGAAGGCTCCAGGGAGAATTTCTTGTAGCCTTTCACTACTTAAAGGGGGCCTATAAGAAAGATTGGGACAGTATTTTTGTAGGGCCTGTTGTGACAGGACAAGGGGTGATAATTTTTAAATTAAAAGAGGGGAGATTCATACTGGATATAGAAAGAAATTATTTACAGTGCAGGTGGTGAAACACTGCCCAGGTTGCCCAGAGAGGTGTTCGATGCCCCATCCCTGGAAACATTCCAGGTCAGGTTGGCCAGGGCTCTGAGCATCCTGCTGTAGTTTAAGATATCCTTGTGCACTGCAGGGGGGTTGGACTAGATGGCCTTGAAAGGTCCCTTCCAACCTAAACTGTTCTATGGTTCTATTTTTTTTCTTCTGTATTCTTGTCCAGGCACAAAAAAGAAGCAGATGAGATTGTTCGCATAGCCAAAGCAGCAAATGATACTTCCACAGAAGCCTATCAACTGCTCCTGAAGACCCTGGCTGGAGAAAACCAAACTGCAGCTGACATTGATGAGCTCAACCAGAAGTGAGTCAGTAACAGAAAATCGGGTTTATTTCCTGGATTTAGAGCTGGGCTTATAACTAAGACACCTTCTGTAGGGTTCTATGGTTTGCGTTTTATGGGAATTGTCTTCCAATTTCTTAGCCTCTCTACTCTCTTAGTATGTTCGGTTCTAAAAAAAAAATTGAAGCATAACTGAATTCTTGGGTTTTTTTAGGTATAATCAAGCAAGGAACATTTCTCAGGACCTAGAGAAACAGGCCAGCAAGGTGCTTGCAGAGGCAGAGGAAGCTGGAAACAAAGCCCTGCAGATTTATGCTAATCTCACCAGTTTGCCTACCGTGGATTCCACAGGGCTGGAGGTACGTGTGGGAAGCATCAAATGCAGCATTTTCTGCATAGGAATAGTCTGTGGAATTTTTGTCCATGGAGGTCTAATCCAGATTTATGCATTTCAGCTTTTATGCAGGAGATTTGCATGCAGTAAGCTACAGACTCCTCCACCTCCCTCAATCTTGGAATGACAAAAAACTCAGTGGAATGTTCCTTGTCAAACATCTTGACTTGAACAGAGAAGTGTAACAATTCCAGTTCCCTCTGAAGCTTGCAGAACTGCTCCCTCTCCTGAGCTTACTGTAGTGCCGGAGGTGTTCTTACACCCAAAAGTCTTTGCAACTTATGTCCTTCATTGCACTGACCCTTGTGATATTCAGAACTTTGAAAGCAAAATTATAACTGTAGTTGTAAGAGATTGTAACCCATCATAGCTTCTACCTGTTTGTCCATTAGAAACTGTACGGTGCTTTCCAACTGTTAGGAAATTCTTTCAGGAATCTGCATTTGTCTCTGATTTCCACCTGCAGAATGAAGCAAATAAGATCAAGAAGGAAGCAGAGGAGTTAGATCAGCTAATTGCCAGGAAGCTGAAAGATTATGAGGACTTGAGAGAAGACATGAAAGGAAAGGAGCTAGAAGTAAAGAACCTCTTGGAGAAAGGGAAGACAGAACAGCAGGTCAGTTCTGGTTTGTGCAGGCTTTTTTTCCTTGGAAAAAAAGGTAACTGTCCAGATATGAAAAATTTGCTCTTACTCAGTTTTATTTTAGCACTGCTCATTGCTTGTGAGAATGTTGAAGAATGGTCATAGAAAGGAAGTGCAGAAAGCTGGTAAAAGCAATGTCATTGAGGCAACATGGGGGAATAGGGGAACTTTGCCATGTGTGGCGACTTCTTTGTATTCAGAACTAGATGATTGTCCTCCAAAAGCTAACAATATTACTCCTCCCACCTAGAGAGGAATAACTCCCTGCACCAGTACAGGTCAGGGGTTGACCTGCTGGAAAGCAGCTTCATGGTGAAGGACCTGGGAGTCCTGGTGGGCAACAAGTTCACCATGCGCCGGTAATCGTGCCCTCATGGCCAAGAAAGCCAGTGGTCCTCTGGGGAGCATGAAGAAGAGTATGGCCAGGGGGTTGAGGGAAGTTCTCCTTCCCCTCTATTCTGCACTGGTTCTGGGCTCCCCAGTTCAAAGGAGACAAGGAACTACTAGAGAGAGTCCAGCAGAGGCCACAAAGATGCCGAGAGGACTGGAGCCATCTCTCTGACGAGAAAAGGCTGAGAGCCCTGGGGCTGTTCAGCCTGGAGAAGAGCAGACTAAGAGGGGATCTTCTCAATGCTTCTCGATATCTAAAGGGTGAGGGTCAAGACAATGGGACCAGACTCTTGTCTTGATGCCCAGTGGCAGGACAAGGGGCAACAGGCACAAACTATAACCCAGGAGGTTCCATCTGAGCAGGAGGAAAATCTTCTGTCCTGTGAGGGTGCCAGAGCCCTGGACCAGGCTGCCCAGGGCTGTTGTGGAGTCTCCTTCCCTGGAGAGATTCTAAACCTGCCTGGATGTGATCCTGGGCAACCTGCTGTGGGTGACCCTGCTTTAGCAGGGGCTTGGACAAGGTGATCTTCAGAGATCCTTTCCAACCCCTACTGTTGTGTGATTCTGTGTAATTTGTTGGTATGTGTCACGTTTCCTTAGACTGCGGACCAGCTCTTGGCTCGAGCAGATGCAGCGAAAGCCCTGGCTGAAGAAGCAGCTCGGAAGGGCAATGGCACACTGCAGGAGGCCAACACCATTCTTAACAACCTGAAAGGTAAAGAGAGAGCGCTTGCAGGGAAACCTCCAGTTCCTGTGTGACAAGTCATTTGGCAGTAGGGTATCTTGGTTCATCGGGCCATGGTATTGCCAGCACCTGAGTGTTGGGTGGGTTCTTTTGGTTTCTTTTTTGCTTTAAAGAAAAAATTAGAAATCTTTTTAGTGACTAGAAATCTCCCTTTGTTTAAACTCCTTATTTAGTGCTGGAAGATGTGTAATAGGGAGAGCTGCAACCATGTATCCCCCCACTCCCCAGTTTGTTCCTCATCCCTCCAGTGTCGTGGAGTGAGTCAGAATCACAGAACAGTTTGGTTTGGGAGGGACCCTTTGAAGGTCATCTAGTCCAACCACCCTGCAGTGAGCAGGGACATCTGCAACTAGAGCAGGTTGCTCAGTGTGGCAGAACCTGAGTAGCTCCGTCAAAGAAGCATCCTAAAGCTCTTGTGGAGCAAGTGATGAGAATCTGGTTTGCCCTTCCTTAGACTTCGATAAGCGGGTGAACGATAACAAGACAGCAGCTGAGGAGGCCCTGAAGAAGATTCCTGCCATCACGCAGACCATTGCTGAAGCCAACAGCAAGACGCGGCAGGCGGAGCTGGCGCTGGGCGGCGCTGCTGCCGACGCCCGGGAGGCCAAGGCGAGAGCTGATGGTGCTGAGAAGATCGCCGGGTCTGTGCAGAAGGTCAGTCCTCTGCGGTTCTGAAGCCACCCCCCCAAGATGCTGGTGTGTAACTGTGTGAGCCCCTCTGTTCCAATATTTCCTGGTGAGCCCCACGTGCTTTCTGCTGTGTTCCTCACTAGGGAATGCAAAATGTGGCATGATAGGAAATTGGTGCATTTAAATGAAAAGAACTGAAGGAAGTTCTGCACCTTTGACTGCTTTTTTCCATCCCGTCCTTCTTGCCGACTGTAGAGTGCTGCTGCTACCAAAGCTGAGGCTGACAAGACTTTTGCTGATGTGACGGGGCTGGCCAGAGAAGTGGATGACATGATGAAGCAACTACAGGATGCAGAAAAGGAGCTGAAGCGGAAGCAGGACGATGCTGAGCAGGACATGATGATGGCAGGCATGGTAAGTGATGCTGGCAGGTGGCAGCAGGGGCAAGAAGCTGCCTTCTCCCTGCTGTCCTGGCTATGCAGGCCCGTCTCCCACTGTCCTGCAAAGACAGCACTGGGCCCAGCCAGTGCTCAGTCTCTTCCAAGTTTCAGGTGGGATTGAAAAGGCACAAGCAAAGGAACTCCTCTGGTGGCCTTAGCACGGGTGGAGTCTAAGAGCCAGTTTTTTTAATGCAGTGCTTTCCTTTCAACTAAAACGTGACTGTAACCCTATTGACCGTTCAGACTTTTCCTGTAAAATCCTGCTCAGTTATCAGGGAACCCCATCCTGAAATAATTGGGAAACTGTCTATTTGAATGCTGTCAGTTTTCACCAGTGCTGTGATAAGGATCTTGGCACAGGGGTGTTATCCTGGAGAGAGGAGCCCCTGTGGCTGACTGTGAAGAGGAGAGACAGTGGTTTTGTAATCTCTACAGCCTTTGTGTGCTCTCTTTTTTTACACCCTGCAGGCCTCACAGGCTGCCCAGGAGGCAGAAGACAATGCAAGAAAAGCGAAGAATTCTGTGAACAGCTTGCTCACTGTCATTAATGACCTGCTGGATCAATTAGGTAAGAATGTCCTTCATGTGCCATATGTCTTCAAGGGTTCTCGTGAGGTGGCAGTGCTGGCAGCTGCAGTGGTGTGCTGCCTTCCCTGCCACTGCTGTGCAAAGAATCGAAACTTCACTTTCCTGTGAGGGTGCCAGAGCCCTGGAGCAGGCTGCCCAGGGATGTTGTGGAGTCTCCTTCTCTGGAGAGATTCCAAACCCACCTGGATGTGAACCTGGACAGCCAGCTCTGGACAGCCCTGCTTGAGCAGCACAGTTGAACTAGGCAGTCTCTAGAGGTCCCTTTCAACCCCCTACTGTTCTGTGATTCTGTGAAATGGTTTTGTGGGCTTCTAGAAATGGGGTTTGTGTGTTTTCAGCAAGGACTCGGTGGTTTATGTTTGTTTTTTTTTTTTTTTTCTTGTCTGGAGTAGCATTAGAGCTCATTGTGCAGCATTCAGTACTGCTTTTCTGCAAGCTGAAGACTGTTTTTGAAGCACTGAAGGTGTAACTTCTTTGGTTGGTTCTGTTTTAAACGCTGCTTCTAATGCAGAGGTGGCCCAGTGGAGGTCTCAGCATGAGTCAGCTGTGTAAGCATCCAAAACCAGAGTGTCTATGGTGTTTTTAATGGACTTCAGTATTTACTTCTGGCTTTTCAGGGCGACTGGAGACGGTGGACTTGAACAAGCTGAGTGAAATTGAGGGTACCCTGAACAGTGCCAAAGACCAGATGAAAGATAGTGACCTGGACCAGAAAGTCTCTTTCCTGGAGAGAGAAGCCAGGAAGCAAGATGATGCAATACAGGCCTACAACAGGGACATTGAAGAGATCCTGAAGGACATTAGCAACCTGGAGGACATCAAGAAGACCTTGCCTTCTGGCTGTTTTAACACCCCGTCCATTGAGAAGCCCTGAGGGTGCACTGGGGGTGGGGGTGTTCCCCAGGGAGCGGTGGTTTGGCTATGGAGTGCCTTAACACACATTACCTTCTTCAGATCCCCAACTCTCTGCTGCTCGCAGCCACTGTTTTCTTTTCAAATCAGGATAAGTTGAAAGTTTTTTT